GTCTGTCTGTCTGTCTGTCTGTCTGTCTGTCTGTCTGTCTGTCTGTCTGTCTGTCTGTTTGTCTGTCTCTCTCTCTCTCTCTTTCGCAATATCTGATATTTCTCTTCACGCACGCACGCACGCACGCACGCACGCAGTTTTAGATAGAAGTAGATAGGTATAGATAATTATATTCCTATGGTTCCAGTAGAGTTTCCCGGTGTGAACTTACCTTTGAATGCCGTTAGATGGCGCTAGAATGCCATATTTTACCTGACCCAGTTCTTGGTTCTGACTCGGTGCAGCTGTCTTGCTGTCGCATCTTTGCACTCCCTTCTTTTGTTTGGTGTTTGTTGTAGCTGGTTGTGTAAACGTGATGGCTCTTCCTTCTAAACGAGCGATTCGTGTTAGGATCGTCTTTGCTGTTATTGGACTCATAGTCGGCTTCTCAATTCCTATTTGCTTTGCCAGTAATGCGTATAGAAATTACAACGTTGCTCTTTGGGGCGCATTATCAGGTGAGTTTTCGAGCAGATTATTATCTCTCGTATCCGGGCTCGTATCTATATCTAATATCAAGTAGCTATGGCATAGACTATGCATAAACCTAGTAATGAATACATTTAATAACAATAAGAGTCATAAAGTGCGAGTTTGTGCGTTCAATCTGATATCGATAGGCAACATGAACTTGAACAAGTAAACCAATGCAGTAACTGTCTGTCCGCCATGCAACAGGTTGCTTGACGAATAGCTCTAGTAGTAGTACTACCCCGGTACTACTAGTAGTAGTACTACTATAGCCCGCGTTCATAGCCTGCGGCAGTTAATGAACGCGGGCTATAGTACTAGAGCTACTTGACGAAGTACTACATTCGCAGATCGACTTTAGATATAATACTAATAGTATGACCCAACAGAGTCTTGGTTGTGGTCTCTTCACTTCAGGGTCTCAGAGAACACAACAATGTCGATCTACCGATCTGATCAAAATCTGAGTAAACGGTCGATGTCTGTCTTATTATATTGGCCGTGGCTACGCGACCGGTTCAGGACGAGGAGCCGCTAGGCTACGCGTCCGGACATCCATCTCACACAGGGAGCTTGCGACACGTACACGCATGATTGCGCAACGGGACGCTCTGCTGCCGTCTATCCTTTCATCCGTCCTCTCTCGCGCTCTCTCTCTCTCACACACACAGACACACACGCACAGCTCTCTCTCGCTCTCGCTCTCTCTCTCTCACTCATACACACACATACACATTCCCATCCCTCACTCTCTCTCTCTCTCTCTCTCTCACGCATACACACACACATACACATTCCCATTCCCTCCTCCTCTCTCTCTCTCTCACACACACACCACCACCCACACAATATGGCACGCCAACACACGCACGCACGCACACACGCACCACCGCACACACACACACAGCAATCAGCAGAGCGTCCACTTGCGCAGATCATGCCGTGTACGTGTCGCAAGCTCCCTGCTGTGAGAAATTTTTTTTTGGAGCGGACGCGTAGCCTAGACGCCCTCCTCGTCACCTAACCGGTTCGCGTCAGGCCACGCCAAGTAAATAAGACAGACATAAACGACCGTTTACTCAGATTTTTGTATCAGACCGGTTAGATCGACATTGTTGCTGTTCTCTGAGACCCTGAAGCTGAACGAGACCACACACCAAGACTCCTGTTGCGCGTCATTACTATTAGATATATCGTAAAGTCGAGCTGCCGAATGTAGTACATTCGTCAAGTTTAGCTCTAGTACTATAGCCCGCGTTCATTAACTGCCGCAGGCTGCATGAACGCGGGCTATCAGTCACTACCTTCACTAGTGTACCGGTAGCTACTAGAGCATATTCGTCAAGCCAACCTGCTTGCATGGCGGACAGTTACTGCAGTTGGTTTACTCTGTCAACTTGCAGCTGGCCATCGATTATCAGATGAACGCACCAAACTCGCACGTTTATGACTGCTTATTGTTGATTAACATGTATCATTACTACGGTTTATGCCCATAGCTCTATGCCATAGCTACTTCAATCCTACGATATAGATAACGAGCCCGGCATACGAGAGATAATATTAAATAATCTGCCTCAAAAAACTCACCTATGAAGTGGCCCCAAAGCGAGCAGAGACGTTGTAATTTCTATATGCGGCTGGTATTACTGGCAATCTAAATAGATATATATATTTCTCTATCTATTATTTCTCTATATTTTAACAGTCTAAAGACGATTTGGGGCCTAAACACGAATCGCTTCGTTTATTGTTTATATATTTAAGAGCCAGCACGTTTATCTACTCTATGCTACCTATTATCTATATATCTCTCTATAATTCGAGCTGAAGAAGCGGAGGCTGCAAAGGAGATGCTTTTATCAGGCCAAGACAGCTGCACTGAGTCAGATATCTCTATTATCTGAGGAGACCAGAGGAACCTGGGTCAGGAAGAAATTATGGCATTCTAGCGCCAGGCTAAGGAGCCGGCATTCAAAGGCTAGTTCACACCGGGGAAAACTCTACTTGAACCGACAAAGCTCCTTATCGACAATATCTCTTGGTCTCGCGTCTGGTGGCTCAACGTCTGACGCGGTTATGTATGCCTGAGTGTGGGGTGAAGGCGGCGACGCATGCAGTTTGCTGTCTAACCATTTAGGGAAGTTTTATAATTATCCTATACCTATCTAACTTCTATCCTAAAACTGCCGGTGGGTGGCGCGTGCGTGCGGCTGAAGAGGAAATATCAGATATTGCGATAAGAGAGAGGAGGAGAGAGAGACAGACAAACAGGACAGACAGGACAGACAGACAGACAGACAGACAGACAGACGAGGACAGACAGACGACAGACAGACAGAACAGACAGACAGAGAGAAGGGAGGACGGAAGACGAGAGAGAGAGAGAGAAGGAGAGACGGACAGCAGAGAACGACCAGACAGCGACGAGAGAGAAACACCGATGAGAGAGAGAGAGAGAGGAGAGAGAGAGAGAGAGATAGACAGATAGAAACGAGAGAGAGAGAGAAGTAGAGAGAAGAGAGAGAGTCAGAGAACGAGAGAGGAGAGAGGAGAGAGAAAGCAGCAGAGAGAGGGAGCGGTAGAGGGTGAGGTCACGAGAAGGCCGAGGGTGAGCGGGAAGGCGAGTAGAAGTAAACCTATATTAGAAAGAAATGTGCATCCGTGTGTGTGCGTTTCGTGACGTACGTGCGTTTGTCTGCGCATGGCTACTGCGCCATGCGTGTGCACATGCTCCTCTCTGCATCTCTTCCCTCCCTCCGCCCCTCTCTCCTTTTCTCTTCTCTTTTATTTCTCCTTCCGCTCTAACTCCCTGCCCCTCAGTATTCTCTGCTCCCTATCGCGGATAGTAGCGCCCACGGCATCAGTTGCAACTGTGAAAAGTTAAGCAAGCGCAAATGATGGTTTTCACCTCAACCTTTTTCACCCCCCAAAGCGGGGAGTAAGGAATAGGGCCTGATTACTCTTTATTCGACTGTTAATGAATATTGCCTGAATACCAGTAAGACAAGGTCAGCCATAAAGAACCCGGCACATTGTCTCATTATTATACATTATACATTCATTATTAAATCATTTAATTCATTGTAATCAATCTACAAATACATGTACTGAGATGCGTCTTTTTCATCGGAAGAAAAAATCTAATGACATGCAAATAGTGTTGCAGCAAGTTGAAAATAATAAAATTTTCTCGAGCTTGATACACTATCACACTTGATTCATACTTACATTATCTTATTTATCTTCTAAAATTTTATTACC